TGTGTGCTAGATTGCTCTACCCAAAATCGGCTCTTAGGTTTCTAGTTTTGATGGACAAAATTTAGTGAATCTACATGTAAGACACAGTTCTAATTAGGGGACAGGTTGGGAACTATGAATAAAGTTGGAACTAAACTGAATTTTAGAGTTGGAAGTATTTTTAGCAATTCCTGTAATTATATTTTCTACAAAAAAAAAAAAAAAGATTTCTATGGATGGAAGGAGTTTCTTCAAAATATACCAGGAAGTGTGCTGACGTCTAGACTATATGATGAATGGCTTGGTGTCCTCGACCAAATGTGTGAAGAGAAGAAAGTAGCTGCAGTGCAGAGGTAATGATTCACTAATTTCTTGAGCAACACAACAAAAATAGGAATAATGTTTGCTTAGACACATTAGATCATATACCACAGAATCGTTTACTAAACATATTGACTGACAACAAAAGGTTTCAATTGTTCACAAACATAGAAGACATTGTGAAAGGAGAAGTATGACTTGGGGAGTCACAGTGGGCCCACGCTTTTAATCTCAGCGTTTATGTAACGTGTGTGTGTGTGTGTGTGTGTGTGTGTGTGTGTGTGTGTGTGTGTGTGTATCAATTAAATTTGTCCCTTTTTTCTGACTATGGGGAGATATTTCAAGCAATATTTATAGGACACAGTCCTTTCATTTTATTCTTAGGGGACCATGAATAAGATACAATTACTCGGTTCCCTTTCTTCATATTTACAATTTCATGAGTAAAATTTTTGTTTTAAAATAACTTGTCTTTGTGTTCAGTCTTTTAGAGCAACTACCCCAACAGAATGTCATTCTTTTGACACTTTTTGGAATATTATACAAAATTGAGAGAAACTTTGAAGTCAACCACATGACATCTAATTTAGCAACTCAAGATTGGCAGATATCACCAAAAAGGTAATGAGGCATATATTTTATGCCTAGAGTAAACAAGTCTTCACAATGTGACATGAAAACAGATTATTCTGGAGGGGAAGAATCGTTTGTGGATTTTGAGTTAGTAGAGTTTAAATGGGTATTTGAGCTCAGTGACTCAGTCCTTTGTCAATTGCAATTTAGAATATTGCTAAACTAACCCACAGAGAGCTAGTATTGTGAAATGATAAGAAAACATGGGTGCTGGGTTAGAAAATCAAGATTGAACCCTTGATGTCATCACTGAGGGATGTGTGAATTTCTACTTGTTTTCAAGGTAGTTTCCCAACTAAACAGAGACAATATGGATTTTTTTATCAGATATGTTGTTCTGAGGCCTGGTTAGTGTGATTAAACATATCCTTGGCCTCTTGTTGCTGATTATGGGTGGATTAGAGACACTCCTATGGCAGGCACATTTCAAGTACTATAATGAAGCACCAGAATTTATTCAGCATAAAGACCAAATGGTTATTTAGACTCTCAGTATTTGAGTTTCTGATTAACTATTGATTGAGCAATTGCTCTTGGGCCTCTAAGAAGTACATCACAGGAAGGTCTGACTCAGGACATCTTTTCCTCATTTCATGTAGAATCAATAAATGGAAGAGAAAGCTAGGGTTCTAAACAACCTGTCATTGCAGATCCACAATTATCCAGTTCCCTCCAAATAGGCCTCACTTCAAATATCTCCCAATACAATGAACCCGGGGGCCAAGCTGTTAGCATGGGATCTGCACTGAGCAATCAGAGACACATGAATGCTGCTGCTCAGTTGCCTTTGCCCGTCTCTTCATTTTTAGTCACCCAATGGGAACTTTCAATAGGATGGAGCCCATATTCGGGGGAGTCTTCCCTCCTTAACTGTACCTTTCTGTAAGCATCTTTACAAACATGCTCAGCCATGTCTGTCACAAATGGAACAAAAGTTATCCAAGTTAACAGTATATATTAGCCACCCCATGGGGAGCACTAGAAATCATCCTCTTAGGGAGTATTGTACTGTGATGATCACATTTTATCATCTGATATCAAAAATCTTTTTTCAAATTTCTAACAGAAAACTCCCCTGTATTTTATAGAAGCTGACTTTTCCCCTGAATTTTGAACTACACACTTTTAGCCTCAAGGCTCATATATCAAATGTGATTTACAAGCATGCAAAATGACAGAGACCTTTTGTGTTTGCTTTGTTTTATCACAGATTTCTCTTGTCAAATTCCTTATTGAGAACTATACAAAAATATTTGGAGAAGAGTTCATTTATGAGAGCTCATTATATAGCTCATTGCTTTGCTCTGATGGGGAGAAGGCTTACAATTTCCTGAACACTCCAACCGACAGTGTTGAGACAGAGGAAAAGGAACAAGAAGAAGGCCCTGTCCCAGTGGGAGGACATGCCCCACAGGCAATGATGCAGTGCCCAGAAGTCCAACTGCTTCTCTCCACAGTGAGGGAGTTATGGGTAAGTATAGATGCTCTATTAGCTTAACCTACAAGTTACATAGTTCAAGGGGGGAAGCTAAAGGCTGTCAGAGAAATGCATCAGGCAAGATATGTGATGAAGTGCAGCTACTGTGGTTAAATTATAGTACCCAATGTACCCGAAAACATCATTTACAACAAACAGCCATTGGGAGTGTACTAAAACCATTTGGAAGTGAAACTTCACCTGAACATGATAGGTGTTTTCCTGTTGTCAGAAACTGCCTGTGCATTGTCATTCCTTCTTCACAGTGGTCCTGAACTTATGTAAGAAGTAAATCCTAGCAGTGCCAAGTATCCAATTAATTGAGAATATGTGGAGAAATTTCACTTACCGCGATATCTTGACTCCTAACTGATTTTTATAATACTCAGAATAGTCACTCAATTTTTCCAGTCAGGGTTTCTCTCTTTAACAGTCCTGACTGTCTTGAAATTAGCTTTGTAGAGCAGGCTGGTCATAAACTCACAGAGATCCTCTTGGCTCTACTTCCTGAGAACTGGGATTAAAGGTGTGCACCACCACGCCTGTCTCTTTTGGAAGTCTTCATATGGCATAATATACCCATAGGGGAGAATTATGCTGTGATCTCAGATTTGAGCTCGTAGTTCAAGGGGGGGGGGAGCAAAAGGCTGTCAGAGAAATGCATCAGGCAAGATATGTGAAGTGCAGATACCGTGGTTAAATTATAGTACCCAATGCTGTTCAGTCAAGAATTCCCACAGGAGGACTCAGATTGTATATTACATCACTGCTTGACCTAATACCAATATGCATAGTGTCCAAGACACACATCGGAATTTACTGATTATACCTACAAGTATGGGTCATATGCCAATAGATATCATGTCCCTCATAATGCAGACTCATTATTATAAATGCCATAACATTTGCTATTTTCTGTGTATTATGTTTATTCAGGTGGTGTGTAAGGTGTAAAATGAAGAGGGCATGTGAGGGCTAAGTGAGTTGAATTAAAACATACAGTGATCTCCTTTCTTTTTTACATTCTGAGAAACAAATCAAAACATCATTTTAAATCTGATGATTACATGAGGCTCAGATACCAGCCAAGACAACATGTGCTTAACTCCACCAGTGCCAAAGAAAAACAACCCACTGGCAATTTTCACACCCCACCAGCACCAAACAAGGAAAATCTAGTTGGAACCTCTAACACTCTACAAGGACCAAAAGAGGAAAACCTTGTTGGAAATTCTGATACTCCAACAACACCAAAAGAAAACCTGGTGCGAAATTCTGATACCCCACCAGCACCAAACAAGGAACACCTCGCTGGAAATTCTCACACCCCACCAACACCAAAGAAGGAAATACTGGTTAGAAATTCTGACACCCCATCAGCACAAAACAAGGAACACCACCTTGGAAATTATCACATCCCACCAGCACCAAAGGGGGAACATCTGGCTGGAAATTCTTGTACCCCACCAGCACCAAAAGATGAAAACCTGGTGGGAATATCTGATACCCCACCAGCACCAAATGAGGAACATCTGGTTGGAAGTTTTCACACTCTACCAGCACCAAACAAGGAGAATCTGGTGGGATATTATGACACCCCACCAGCACCAAATGAGGAACATCTGGTTGGAAATTCTCACAGCAACTAAAAGAATAAAACCTTGTTGGAAATTCTGAAAACCCACCAGCACCAAACAAGAAACACCTCCTTGGAAATTCTCATACCCCACCAGCACCAAACAAGGAACACCTCCTTGGATATTGTGACACCCCACCAGCACCAAAGGAAGAAATACTGGTTGAGAATTCTTACACCCCATCAGCACCAAATAAGGAACACTTTTATGGAAATTATCACACCCCACCAGCAAAAAACGAGGAACATCTGATTGGAAACTCTGACACCCCACCAATACCAAAGAGGGAAATCTAGTAAGAAATTTTGATACCCCACCAGCACCAAATGAGGAACACCTGGTTGGAAATTCTGACACCCCCCCCCCCCACCAATCAAGAGACAACTCTTCGGGATCTCTCCTGAGTGTTTGTGAGGACGGCAATCTGTTTACTCCAATACTGATAAGTTTCACTCTGGGTGTCTACAGCTCTCCTTTTCAACATATTATATAAGGAATGTTCTACACAGACATAGAAAGAGATGAGGTATAAAGCTCACTCCATCTTTAACTGTCCCAAGACAACTCCAAAGAGAGATATGAATTACTGTGCTTCTGAATATAAAAAGTGCAAGCATTAAAAAATAGACATCTTTTAGGGTTGCATATACAGCCCCTGTAGCATGCCTGCCTAGGATGTTTGAGTGCCTGCATGCATGTTTAGATGCAAATAAGCCCAATATTGGGATTGTTTCTGAGGGAAGGTTGTACTGCAGTGTTTTATTTTTTTGTGATTAGTTTATAATTAAAAAAAATTAAGACTGTGCCTTTGTATCATGTAATCAATGTGAATTCATTTGAGAAACAAAGTTCTATAGACTGTTATAAAGACTCCAATGGATCTCTATACATGAATATATGCACACACATATACACCTCTTTTTAAAGACGTCACAGAAGTGAGCCCGCACACATTCACTGGCACACAATCTATAATATATCATCAGGCAAGAGAGAATTAGGAGGTGGGGGAGGGTACATCAGAGAATGCCAGCTTCCTGGTTTGTCTGCCTCTGGAGGGAGCATGCTGCATGCTGGGCCTGCCTCCCACAGTGCTCCTAGCTCAGGGTCTACAATTGGTGACCTGCTTTAGTTTTAACTGGAGGTGTGACATTGAAAGAGAAGTGTGATACCTGTCTCTTTTCTAGGTAGTTCAGGGCTTCATCCATCATCACAGGCACTAAAGGGAAAAATATTTTAGAGATTGCTTTTGAAAATGAGTTAGCTAGCCCAGCATACTCCATTCACACAGGGAAGGTGTGCCTGTCACCTACCAAGACCCTCTGGGACATCACTCCGGCCATTCTCACCCAGAACGTCTCTTGTTCTCATCCTAGGACTTCTCTACAAAACCTCAATCCTGCCATCTCACTTTCCCTCTTCCCAACCCCAGCTGCCAACCACACACTCCTCTCAGTGAGTGTGAACACTGCATGGTTCCTTTTCTTCCCTAAGGACCCATTAGGAAGCAGAAGTTATACAGTTCAAGTCATGACAGCACACAGCTGTTTGGTGGGTGAGTCCCAGATGCTGGGTAAAGTTTCCTTCTGGCCTTTGGCAATGAGGAAGAATTTCTCTTCTTCATGCTGGTGGCATTTTTGCGCAGTTATAAATGCAGCGACAGGAACCTAAAGGCAGACGTGGAAAGCAGGTTACATTGACTTTTACTACTTGCTGTGCAGATATTGTTTAATATTAATATTATTGTGCTGATACCTTAATGTTTGTGGGGCATGGTGGCAGACAGTGCCATGCCTAGCACTACCAGCTGCATCCCAGCGAACCTGGAATCGCCCAGCCCTACACAAGGGGCCTTGCTGGCCCAAGGCCTCCACCCGCAGCGCCACCCCGCGGCCGTGCCCCGCCACGGCAGGTGCCCGACGCCACCGCAGCACCTGTGGCTCCACAAAGGATTGGAGGGCAGGTCCCGGAGTGCAAGGCACTGGGCATCTGAGAACTGACGGCGCTCCCAGCCTCACACCCATGCCATCTAATGATGCCGGGAGCCTTGGGCTGTTACAGTCTCGCCGTTTATTTCGCGCGCGCGTGTATGTGCGTGTGTGCACGTGCGCACAGGCCCGTGGGGGTTCTGAGCCGCACCGACCCGGCCGTCCCCAACAGGCCTGGTCCTAAGCAGCTGCTCGTGGGTCTCTCGAGCTCGCCGGAGCTGGAGTTCACGCCCCGGTACCCGGGAACGCGGCAGCCTCCACGGAAGGAGGAGCTTCTCTCACCCAGGACT